ACAGGTGTTCAGGGGCATAGGTGCAATAAGGCTAAGGGACGGCTTACTTCCGGTCCGATGGCGGTCGATGTCGTGCAGCATAAGGTAGATGATATGCGAGGTGCCTCCCAAGGTCGTCCGGTCCGTCTGTCTAATGGCGGCTATGTAACCGTTTGAACGCGGTGAACGTGCGTTCGCGTTCAAATGTGCGTTTGAACGCTGATTGCGCGTTCGCGTTCAAAAATTGAATGGCGGCGGTTCGGGAGAGGCTCGTTCGTAAGGATTGTGATTTCTATGAGTCGGACCTGCGGACGCGTGGCGTTTGACGTCGCGCGTTATGGTTAGGCTCCGTGATTCCAGAGGCTCAACAGTTGTCGAGTCGCTTGCAAGTTCTGCACGGCGTGTGGGGCCAATACGGGGCTATGGAGTTCCACGGAACCACCGTGAGCTGGTGGTACGGGAGGAGGATGCGGAAGGGAGAGAAATTGGTAGTGATAACGACGAAGCTGGGGGATATGAAGTATTGCGTGTTATATGTAGTTGGGTAATCGGGGCACCTTGGGTCACTGGTTATGGCACAGTGAAATTCCCTGGCGCACAGTCGGTTCTCGATTAGACAGGGAAATTCCGGATATCTCAGTCTAAGGTACCCTTCTCCCTAGTGTTCTAAGTATTCTGAATCCCGCGAACTCTCCCAGTGCTCGTCGTATGACATCTTGTCATTCTAGCGTACGTATTTGATCGTGCTTCGATTGATAAGGGAATTTCCGGGTTTGGTGGCCCAAATCCTTGCAAACACACGTATTCTGATATCGGAGGTGCCAAGCTCGTCGGTGGTCGTGAATCGCCCCCGTGCGGACACGTGTAGGCTACGCTGGTCAGATCACGCTTACACGTGCGCACACAAGGTGTTCGGTCGTACACGGGCTGATTTTCGTGCAATCGTGAGGTTTCCGTCCTACATGCAAAATTGCCAAGTGGTGTAGACAATCATCCAATCATCTAATCATTCAGTAATCCCATGGTCAACAATTATTCCCGTTTATGCAAAGTGACACTGCATCATACATTCGACACCGCACAACATCTACTCCTGTCATCAGCCATTCATCACGAGCTAAGATGAGCAAAACGAGAAACGACTAGCACATCATTCAACCATGCAGAACTCGTCCATTCGCCATACATGAGAAGGAGTAAGTCGGAATCGAGAAGAAGCGCCAATCAAGGCGAAAATAAGGAGAGATGCCGAATCAAAAACAAAGGGCGAATCGCCCGTAGCCGCAATCAAAACTTATATAAAAAAACAAAGGAAAAGACAAAGAAAATCGCAACTCCACACCCATCCACCTCAACTCTCTCTCTCTCTCTCTCTCTCTCTCTCTCTCTCTCTCTCTCTCTCTCTCTCTCTCTCTCTCTCTCTCTCAATCTCCCCGATGCGGACAGTCCGTTGCCGTGCATCAACCCACGAAGTCGTCACCCCGCTTAGTCCTCCTGTGCCCGTCGGATTCGCCCACGCGCTACAGTCCGTGGTAGCCCCACACGTCTGTGTATCTTTTTAACGGAGAACGGAGGAATTAAACTCCTGTTGAATCCCGTTAGATTCAAAAAAATCCCGTTGAATTCGCGTTAAACGCGAAAATGGGCCGCTCCCGCGCTTTTCGGAAAAATGGAATTGATGCACGGGGTCCGGGACACCTGGCCCTACGCAACCCCAGAAGCATCTCCCATCCGCCCCCACATCTCTAAACCCCCAATGCCCCAGTTATGTGTGTGTAGGTGTGTTGTGTGTGCTCGTATGTGTGTATGTATGTGCCTGCGCGTGAGAGTGTGTCTGTGCATGAATATGAATGTATGCTCGTGTGTTTGTGTATGCGTTTGTAAGTGTGTGTGTGTGTGTATGTGTGTGTGCATGATGGTTGGCGTGTATCCATTGAATCACCCTCTTGCGATCAAAGAATCTGGGCTCCGTCCAGCGGCCTAGCTTAGTTGATTAGGCACGCAAGTGGCATTCAGGAGGTTGTGGGTTCAATCCCCGCCTATGGCACTCTCGATGCCAACCAACAAAGATAGTCAGTTGGATCCTCCCAGTCTGTATCAGTAAGGTCTTCAACCAACACGGCTGGGAGGCACCTCCTGTCCCTACTATCCTACCTCAGTGTGACCACCACTGAGAACCATCACCCTACCATTATTGAGGGCAACTTGGACCACATACCAGTGACAAGCACCAGGGTTGAGCCAACCTCCCAGCCCTAATAGAAGCGGAGGCGGACGAACCATGTCGTATGGGAACTTCGGACGCCAGACTCATGCAATCTGCTACAGGCCCAATTTTGTGTGTGTGTCTCTCTTTTTTAAAGTTTTTTCTTTTTTTTTTATTTGTTTTTTTATGGTTTTGATTTTTTTTTAAATACACGAAGTTCTTAAAAAAAAATCAAAAATAAAAATTTTGTACATCTTTGAAAGATCTACAACCCTATATATGTATATATATATATATATATATATACATATATATATCGTCACAAACAGAACTGCCCGGTAAACCGTAGGCAGAGAGAGAGAAGAGGACAACAAACGAGGGGCTGTGACAAACTGTTTCGTCGGAGTTTCACCGACTCGGGCTTGGTTGGTGGTGATTTCTATATGTACATTCTTACCACCAACGATAATGAGAAAAGCTACGATTTGATTCAACTAATTTATGAAGATCATCTCTTTTTTTTCTAGCAAATCCTTGTTTTTTCGAAGCATCCTGTAGTTTCCCCAACCTGAAATCAACGGAACCAAAGCACTGAGTGTTCAAACTAATTCCATTTTTCCTCTCGTCGAAGAGTTGTCCATAGTGACACGTCGAACGGCTAACTGGCCAACATTGCTTTGCACGGAATGGAGAATGCTTTGAATGAGTGGGCTCAGCAACAGGCGGCCGAAGGCCGAGTTATCCTAGTAAGATACGCCGATGATTTCGTTGTTCTTCATAAGGCTCGAAGAGTTGTTCAGGGCGCTCAAGGGTTCCTATCACAATGGCTCCAACCCATGGGCCTGCACTTTGTGCCTGATCAAACTCGCATAGTCACTACGGGAGAAGGATTCCATTTCTTAGCACATGACGTTCTCCACCTTGGCAAAGGCTATATATATTTGTTTTAGCCCTTAAAAAATATGTGCGAAACCCAAAAAAAAAACACTCATGTCATTTTAGTTTTTGTTTTTTTCATTGTGTGTTTATGTTTTTGATTTTTTTTAAATATATTTAAATATCAAAAGAAATATAAATATATATATATATATTCTGTTTGTGACGATATATAGGGTTGTAGTACTCAAAAAAACCTACAACCCCGTTTTTTTTTTTTTTTTTTTGGATAATTTTTAGCCCAAGAAAAAAATCATCGCGAATCCTGTTAATTTGCGTCCAACGCGCGTTTGAACGGGAGTTTAACGTGAATTCAACGCGAAACCCGCATTGAATTCAAAATCGGACACACAACCACACGTTAATCCCGCACATTCGGCACCAGCTCGTCGAGTCGCCCAACTCCCACTTCCACTCACCTCTTACTTCGCTCGTGAGCCGACCCTCACTGATCGCGCTACCCCGAGCTTCCAGCAACTGTTTAAGAGAGCTATCTAATCGCGCAACCGAAATTTATAGTGTGCATGCATGCACGAAGAACACGGAATTGCAAGGACTAAGAAGGGAGAGAAGGGGAGGGAATGCCTACGTTCTGCATGACCAGATCACGGCGTGGGGGACGGAGCCACTCTCCACACATCGATCTGATCATGCAGCCCGCCGGCCTATTAGACACAGCAAAGAAGAGAGGGAGAGCGGGAAATACGAAGCTCAAGAAGAAAGATGCAGTTACAAGGGCACCCGCAAAAAAATTACGGTTACACACAAGATTAAGGGCGCCGGCTAATCAGAGCTCCGTTGCAACCGCAAAAAGAGTCGTGCGAGCAAAAAGCACCGCGCAGCAAAAGAAACTCCGAATTCCTAAATTCCTAAATTTTTATCTATTGCAAAAATGCAAAAAGAAATAAAGCACAAGTCCGAAAAGAAAGTCCGAAATTCCGAGAGCCATCGAAGGCTCAACAAGATTCGAAAAAGAATTTCAAAAAGAGAGAAGCAAACTCCTGCGCGATCACCGTGTCAAAAACTCGACAGCAAAACAAAAAAAAAGTGACGTCAACCATTATTAATCGCGCCTTTGTCGGCGTGCCAGCCACTCCACCGACCATCTTGGGACTTGCCCAGCCCTGAACCCAGCCATCCGAAAAGAAGCGACGTAAAAAGATGAAGAAGCGAGGACACCGATGTAATTTCCGGTCGATCCTGATCTCTCGTAATTGGCCTTACCTTCCCAGCTAAGGACCCCTCATCGTCATCGCGCAGAAAATTGCGCAGAGACTGAAAGTGGTTCGTCACATATGTGACGGCCAGGGGATTCAAATCTTAAGCAAGCTCCTGCTTGCTTGAATCACGACAAGTGTCGATCTCTCTAATCGGTCGACACGTGAAGCTTTTTTCGTTGCCACTTACCGTTCGATAAGAGTGTGGGCGTCATTCAGTGTGGCACACATGGCTCTATCCTACAAATTCCTCAGAAAGGGCTTTCTTCAATCAAAGGAGGGGATCGTGCGTGCCATCGTCGTGGCACGTATCATTTGACCGCGCATCAGTAACTAGCAGGGAGAGGAAAGGGAAGGTGGTACATGGGGGCGTGCTGAGGGGGCGGGTTGGTCGGGAGTGGGGGTAGGAAGCGTTCCATTCCCGCGACTGTCACCAAAAGCTTTTGATATCGGACGATCCGATGGAATCGCGGGAAGCAGGTACCGGCATGGGGAAGAGACGCAAGGTAGTCGGGATAGAGGGTTGTGAAGGTGCGAAGGAGGGCCGTCCAGAACTGATCATGGTTCTCGCACGCGGGGATAGTCCCTGTGATCATGCAATAAACCTCGATCATGTTGTGGCCTCGCCACGCAGCACTAAAGAGAAGGACATGGAGACAAAAGACAGTGGTGGCGCACCAAGTAAAGGTGTGCGGATGTACCGTGACAGCGAGGCGGGTAGCGTAGAAGTGGCGGAAGGTGTCAGTAGGGAAGGGGTTCTGGGGGAAAGAGACCGGGATGGTAATCTGGCGGAGGGTGAGGTAATTCAAGGGGACGGTGGGATAACGACCGGGAACGAAGCCCGATGGCCCGCATCGACACGTGCTCGAATTGGGGGATGGGGGGACGGGATCGGGATCGGCTCCGTCGCCTGCATGCCGGTGCACTCGAAGTCTCGGCAGTAGGGTCCCCACCGTCGTTCTTGGGCGGCTCGGGATCCTTGGTCGGGTCGTTCGAGATCGGCAGATCCGCACCACTCGCGAACTCCAGCGGCTGCTTCCCGACCGCGATCTCCTCTCTCCTTCGCGCTGCCGCCTCGGGATCCTCCTCCGGAGCTTCTGCGCAATCCGCCTCTTCACCCAGCGTCTCCCACTCAGATTCCTCCTCCTCCTCCAACTGACCCTCTTGTTCTTCTTCTTCGTCTTCTTCTTCGGGTTCCTCCTCGCTGTACTCACTGTAGCTTCCTTCTTCCTTCAAGGTTTCTTCCTCGCTTTCGTCTTCCACCTCCACCTTCTCCGCCACGACTCTTTCCTCTACCGCCGTTCGGGGCGAAAAGAAGAGGACGTCGATGATCCCCCGGGGTTTCAGGTACTCTACGCGCGATGGGTAGCTGCCACCTCCCGTTAGATCTTCCAGGCAGGCTGACCACTGTAAGTACGGCGTTAATCTTCATGGAAGAATGTGCGGCACTGGGCTCTCGTCACACTACGATATGATGTCGTGGGGGAGGTCGTCGACGAGCTGCGCAAGAGGGATCGTGAGTTCCCACACGATCGTTTGCCGATGGCTTGGCTCTACCGCTCTGAAGACGAATCCGAGGAGATTTCCTTCCACCTCTGTTCTCCAGGCCTGGATGATTAGCAGCTCCACGCTCTCCCTCGCGGCACGATGCTCATTGTCCCATGTCCACATCAGCTCCACTTCGACCAGGCACAGTGAAAGAGTGAGGTAGTGCTCACACCAGATCTCCCAGTGTCTCGGTTCGATGAGGGGAACAGCGAGCGGCTGGATGCAGAAAGAAAGACAGGGATGGAGGGCAGACTGCCAAAAAGTGGGGAAGAGAGAGGGGAGGGCAAAGGCTGAAAACTGGGACTGGTTCATTGAGGGCGCCGAAAGGGAGCGAGCTCTGGAAGCACCACCGCTGGCTTGCGTCGGGACGTGCGAAGCCCGCCGACGTTGATGCTGTCGGTGACGACGAGATTGTCGCTGTGCCGCGCAAGCCACTGGTTCCACTTCGCTGCCAGCTGCTCACCCCACTTCCTCAACGATACCCGGATGGCCGTATGCCGCAGCGGATCCACCGTGCTGATATATCCGCTGAAGACAACGATGGTGGACACATGGCTGACTCCCGGTATTGAAAGCTGCTGATACGCCGATGCCTCGGCCAATACGAATGCTTGGTTATGAGCCACAAAACGAAACTCCGCCGGCGCGTATACTCCCGTGGTGTTGAAGAACTGTACAAACCAGAGAGAATCCGGACTGAGCCGTGGATGATGGACTTGTCTGATCGCCGAAATGTCGTCACGTGGCGCCAGCAGGTGCTCGCCGAGAACTCGTTCGGTGAGAAAACTCATGGCGATGGTGATGGGGACGGAGTGTCTGAGGAAGAGCGAGACAGAGAAGGAGAAGTGAGTGATAAGCAATCGTCATCCTCTTCTGCAGCGGAGGAGGAGACAAACGACGGTGGAGATGGAAAGGATGGGCGAGGCCGTAGATACGACACGTGGCGAGTGATCGGTCGAGCCGATCGACTGCCGGAGACCTCAGGCACGAGCCGCACGGTGTTCACGCCGTTTGGTCCGAGCTCGACTACGTGAAATCGCCCGAAGAATCGTGGCGCTAGCTTACCGTGGCGAGCACATTTCCTCACATGCACGATGTCCCCCAATATAATGGGATCGTGGTCCCGCATTCTTGTTCTGGGCCTCGTAACTGCGGACCTGTCCGTCGTGGGCCAACTCAGTCATCTTCTGGCGCTTTCGGGCCAATCGAGGAAGGGACCGCTCCATCAGCTCTAGGTGTCGTTTGGCCTTGTCTCGAACCGTGGCCCTCGTGGGCCATCGGTTCAACGAAGATTCGTCTGGGAAGCTCGGTATTGAAACGCAAGCCACACTATTGGTCCGTAATTGAAAGGGGCTCAGGCCTGTTGGTTCGTGCGGCATCCCTCGATGGACCGCCAAGATGTGATCCACGATATCGGGCCAGGGTCTCGGATCTCGGGCCGTGATGTTTCGTCGCAGTGCAGTCTTAATCACCCTATTTGCATTCTCTACCAGCCCGTTAGACTGTGACATGTGGGGTGCAGTGTTTCGTATGGCGACACCGTGTATGACCAGATTTCTCAGCACCTCCCCTCTGAATTTTACCCCATTATCGGTCAGGATCTCCTTCGTGTCCTGATGCATCCCCAAAAAACGGTTGATGTATCGCGCGATTTCAGGCGCCTGTCGCATACGACATAGGTATGCCTCAACCCACTTCGAAAAATGATCTACGAACTCCAACATTGAATATTCACAGCTATTCGGTCCAAGGGGCACCACAATATCGGTAGTATCCATACTAACCCTTTGAAAAGGCCGTTCAACTACCGTAGGTACTATCGACCTTGGTGGTTGGATCGGCGCCTTGTCAGCGGCGCAGACCTGACAGTTCTGGATGACGAATTTCACATCGTCGCGAATATTGGACCAATACCACTCATTCTTATCGATTGCTGCCTCCGTAATTCGGACGGCGAAATGCGCTGCAATTTCCTCATGCGTTGTCTTAACCCAGTCATACCTCATGAACGGGTGCGGCACTACCATCCAAATCCCACTGCCATCCATCTTCCGTTTTTCTAATCAACCCACGCTCCAGCGATAGTCCTGAGCCCTTTCATTGGCCCTCCTCCGGTCCTCCTTAGTGAAGTCCTAAAGGGGGTTACCTACCAAGGTGGCAATTAGAGCAATATCCGTCCAAACCTCGGCCCTTCTAAATTTTCGGGTCTTTTCCAACCCTTCTGACGTGGCGTAGAGGAATTGAGCCTCGGTCGGGATCTTATCGACCCGGCATAAGGGGCACAACCAGGGCTTATCACCGTTTCTGTACTGTATGCAAGAGTCATGGGCTCGTGCGACACACTGCCGACAATCTACCCAATCGACATATCCCTCCCTGACAGGATGTATAGGGACAGAATACACGTGTGAGATTGCTTCGCAAAAATAACAAAATTTGTCTGGTAGGGAGCAGAGATGAGCACCGGGTACCCAGACCCGCACCCACCTGCACCCACCCCACCCACGAGGACATTGGGTCATGTGCGGGTCTTGATAAGGTGACCTGGGTGGGATGAGGGCGGGTGAAGGCCAGGCAGCCTGGGTGGGTGACAGGTGGGTCAACATTAGGCCTGGGTCACCCGAGTGGGTGGGTGACAGGTGGGTGAGTGCTAGGCCTGGGTCACCCGGCCCACAGACACAGGACAACCCATGAGGACCCCCCCCCCACCCAAAATCCCTGCATGAAATGTCCACCCGCCTAAAAAAGTCGAAGGTGCACGCATGAAATGTCAAGTCCCGTCGTCGGCCTGCCTGAAAAAAAGGAAAAAAGGTCAAGGTCCTCCTGRAAAAAAAAAAAGCAGGAACCTTCTATCAAATTTTTTGCATGCTGCTCTTGCCTCTTGGCGGCTGCACCACGACCCACGTTTGGATGAGTTACCGCTTTCAAACGGGATGCTGAGTTTCGCTCCCATTAAAACAACAAGGGGCGAACCAAACCACAATAGGTGGCAAGGTTCGCTCCCCACTTTTGAACTTCTGGAGAGCTTTGAATTTTGGCGCCGTCATCCAGCGACGACACAACTTGTGCATGGTTCAGCAGTAGGGAGGAGGTGGTGGGGTGGCGAGGAGGGGGGCAATGCACCGACGGCCTGGGGAGCAACAATGCGGCTGCGAGCCACGCACCGACGGCCTGGGGAGCCACGCACTGACGGCCTGGGGAGCAATAACGCTGCTACTAGTAAGCAGCAGTCGAGAGAGAGAGAGAGAGAGAGAGAGAGAGAGAGAGAGAGAGAGAGAGAGAGAGAGAG